GGCTCCCGTGTGCCCACTCTGAGCCAAGGCTGGGCTGCCAGTGCTTCTCACCCTGTTCCCACGGCGTCCGCAGCTCAGCTGTTGCCATCCTCAAGCCTTTGCTGCTCTCAGTGGGGGCAGCCCCAGGCCTGGATGGGCAGCCCCAGGCCTGGACGGCACCTTGACCCTGGTTCTCATTGCCGGGAACCTGCCGTGGCCTCGAGCTGCAGAAGGTTGCTGCTGCCTTCACAGGTAGTCCCCGTGTTCTCCATGAGAGAGGACGGACTTGGCGCAGCAGGTGGCTCTGCCCGCCAGCGAGTGCTGCAGGCGCTCCTGAAGCAGCAGCTACGGAGGCCTCCGAGGACCCAGGCAGCGCAGCCTTGCCATCCTGGCCACCAGCGTTTGTGGCCACCCTGCCTCACAGTCGCCCTGAGCTCGGCTTGGACGGTTTCCAGGTTTTACCTCTTACTGGTCCATCAGGGGCTGCCCGCTGCCTGGGTCTGGGTCTCCAGGTGTGGAAGTTAGGCTTCCTGCTCCTCCGTCTTGCTCCCGTGCACCTGCGCTGTGGCAGGCCCTCCAGCAGCCCTGCCCGTGGCCTGCGTTTGCACTTCTTGGATGGCTTCCACGTTAGTCAGCTTTCCATCGCCATGGCCAGAAGTCCTGACCAGAGCAGTCTGAGGAGCAAGTTTGTTTGGGGCTCACGGTTTCTGAGGTCCAGTCCGTGGTTGGCCGGCTTCACTGCTGCCCTGTTCTGGGCCTGAGCGAGCGGAGCATCGTGGTGGAAGGACATGATGGAGGAGAGCTGTAGCTCAGGAGGCAGAGAGCAGGAGAGAATCAGTGAGACCCCAAGGCCCCTCCAGGGATCCCTCCCAGCCACGCCCCACCTGCAAGTGTCCCACCTCAGAGCTGCTGCATTGTCACACACTCATGCACGCACGCACGCGCGCGCACACACAGGAGAAATGCAGGCTGGGCTGGGAGGTGGTCTGTGCTGGGGAGACCTCACATCACTGGGCTTGCTCGGCTGTGGTTGGAGACCCCAACCTCCCTGACTTCTGAAGAATGGCTGGGGAGGGGTGAGGAGCGTCTGTGCTGCAGAGTTCCCAGGGAGAGCTGCGTGGAGAAGGTGGCTCCACGTGGGGCCTCCAGCCAGCCTCAGGCCTGCTGCTGCACACGTGCCAGCACTGCCAGGGCCCCATCAGGGGGGATCCGAGCGCAGGGCGGGTCGGTTCGATGGGGTGCGTGCAGTGAGGAGAGGGTCAGTGCTTGGAGGGAGCAGACCAGTTTCTAGTTTGTCGTCCTACAGGACTCATAAGCACCTTCTCATCTCTTCAACTAGATCCAAACCCATGAGGGTCCAACCTGGTTTCTGCTGAGCATAGACACACCTGTGATTCCAGTGACTCGGGAGGCTGAGGCAGGAGGATCGAAAGTTCAAGGCCAGCCTTGGAAACTTAGTGAGGCCCTTTCTCAAAAAATAGAAAGCACTGGACATTCGGCTCGTGGTAGAGCCCCTCGGTTCAATCCCAGCACCCAAATCCCAGTCTACAGAATGTACGTTGTGGGGACATGCCATTAAATCAATCAGGGTCACTCCAAGTGAATTTGGGCTGACTAAAAGAGACAGACACAAAAAATACCCTTTTTTTTTAGGTTTAAATCCCCCCCCCGACTTAGGGGGCCCCCTTGGGGGGGGGGGGCAAGGCAGGCAAGAAAGAGGAGCTCTCCTTGAATGTGGGGAGCTAATACATAAAACATTATATCCAAAAAAGGGCAAAAGGGTAGGATTACAGCAAACAGGTGGGTGTAATTTAACGCCATTGGGTGACCCCCGCTCCCTGAGCTGCACCTTTCTTATCCCAGTGGAGGTGACGTCTAGTTGCATTGCAGGTGCAATACCAGTTCAGTACCACTTTACTCAGGACTTAAAGGTGTGTACATGGCTCCTGTCCAGGGCAGCTCCTGACAGTACGTAGGTTCTATAGAGAGTTTGCCTTTTATTTAGGGACTTGAGCACTGGAGAGTTGGTGTGTGGTGGAGGACCTGTAGCCAACCTGCAAGGGTCTTGAGGATCGGCTGTCCTGCCTGTGTGTGTGATCCTGGGTCGATTGTGTATGGGGTCAGAGTGGCCGGGTGTGGCCTCAAAGCTGCTTCCCCAAAGGTCAGCCCCAGTGGGTGCAAGAGTTCGGGTGGCTGTCACTAGGACACATGTGACTTGCATGTGCTTTATTCTAGGTGTGGAAGATATCCTTACAAGGACCATGCTACATGACCCTGCTGATGACGGCCTTTGGCCTGCTGTGGGGACACCTCCTGCAGATCAAACCCACTCAGAGTGTCTTCATTGCCACCTGCCTGTCCTTGTCTAGCACTCCCCTGGTGTCTAGGTTCCTTGCAGGCAGTGCCCGGAGTGATAAAGAAGGTAGGTGAGGGGGCTCGTGTAGTTGGCGCTGGTGTGGATTTGGATCACGGGCTCATTGTCGAAGCTGTGAGGAGAAGCTGTGAGCCTCCTCTTCCTCAGGACTGTCTGGGCAGCGCATGCTCAGGCTCCTGTTGTGCCCAGGGCTGGCGTGGGTCTCCCCCCTGGACTGAGAACGGTGCCCTCCCGTGCTTGCAGATTAGGTAGCCTAAGGGCCTGAGTGAAGCTGCCCTGACTTGCAACCCAGTCTCCTGCAGAACGTCCTAGGGCTCCATGGGCCAACGAGGCCCATGTCGGCCGCTTTAGCTGTGAAGTGTCCTGGGCATGGATCTGGGTTTGACACTCGTGAGCAAACCTGGGGCTTTGGTGGTGAGGGGCTGTGAGTTCCCGTGTGGTTTGGTTTCTTCTGTGCATGTGGAGTGCTGGCATCGAGCTCCCTGTGCACTGGTGAGAGGACCAGCACCAGGGCCCCCACACGGGCTCTGTCTCCGTCCTCTTCCCCCCGGCAGCCCGGCCAGGTTTTCCAGCGACTTGCCCATGAAGTAAACAGGGACTGCTTTGCTCCTGTTTTGTAAGTCGGTAAACATAAGGCCAGAGTGTCTTGGTGAATTCACCCAGAGCCAGAGCACAGGACCAGAAGGGAACGGGAACTGGGAACTTCCGGGGCGCGGCTGGGCGCAGCGGTGGAGCACTGGCCTTGCACGTCTGAGGTCCTGAGCTCGATTCTCAGCACCACACATAAACAAACCAATAGAGTAAAGGTCTGTCAGAAACTAAAAAAAAAGTTAAAAAAAAAAAAAAAAGAGGACTGCAGAGGCGTGCTGACCTCTGTGAAGACCATGGCTGCTCTGTGCTGGGCCTGGGCACCCCCAGCCGGCTCTCCTTGAGGCCTGCGGGGGTTCCTACTGCTGAAAGTGTGCATTGACTTCTGCCAGATGCCCTGACCTCAGGCAGCCCCTCCATGGGGACTCGACCAGCTGCCCCTGCTGGAGGGGCTGCATCTCTGATGGTCCTGTGGGCCAGTTCTTAGGACAGCCCTGTTATGGTCTGGATATGTGGTAGCCCCCCCAAAACTCATGTCGACCACATAGGAATGTTCAGAGGTGGACCAAGCAGATCACAGAGCTGTGACCTCTCAGAGCATGTCACACATGACCAGTTGATGGTTGGAAGGGACTAGGACCTGACTGCAGGCAGGTGGGCGTGGCTGCAGAGCGAAGGTCAAGGGGTGTGCCCTTGGATGATGGTGCAGCCTGTCCCTGGCACGCACACGTGTGTGTACACACACACACACACACACACACTCACCCCGGCTTCCATGAGCTGAGCAGGGGCCGAAGCCAGGTCCTTCGGCTCCATGATCTTCTGCCTCTCCTCAGACCTTGGCACCCTGTAGGCAGAGGCGTCAGCTGATCATGGACTGAGATCTCTGAAACTATGAGATAAAATAAACGTCTTCTCCAAGTTGTTTTTGTGAGATATTTTCCTCACATTTACAATAAAAAACCATGAGACCCCCTCCATGAGAGGGGAGCAGGGACCGAGGGGCTGGGGCGAGGACGTTGGCAGAGACCAGGGCCGTGCACCCAGTGTGCACCCAGCTCCTGAGGGGAGAGCCTGTGGCTGGGAGAGACGAGGGAGAGAGTGCGCTCACTCCCTGCGAGAGCCTGGGAGACGCAGGGTGAGGACTCAGGGTCGCAGCATGCCCATCCTCACCCACGGGAGACTCCGGGGCTGGACCCAGTGGTCCCAGTGTGACCGTCGTCCACAACACAGCCCGGTAAAGGCAAGGACGGACGGGCTTGTAACACTGGAAACGTGAGTGAAGGACCTGCCTTTGCTTAGCGAGATCCGAGGCAGCACGGGAGACAGAGGGGAGGTCGGTGCCCGCAGACTGGCGGCAGCTCCCGTCTGCACGGTAGGAAGGCTGCAGCGTGGCAGCAACTCAGAGCATGTCCCCAAACAACAGGAAAGTGAGCTCGCTGTGAGGACACAGAGCTGTGACTGCCCAGGGCAGCTGGCCCCTGTCAGCAAGGCAGGTGTGTGGAGGCCGGCACGCGCCAGGTCCGTCTCCAGACACTGTGGCAGACGACGGTGGAAATTCCTCCGAGTGCTGGGAAGGGTCGGTCACAGAGCCAGCAGAGAGGCTGCTGGAGCCTGGGCATGCAGGGGTGTCCGGAAAGACAGCTGCCCTCAGTCCTGCAGCGCAGACGGTGTGGGACGGCCCCAGGGTGGAGTGGAGAGCTTCCTCAGGTGCCACACTAACTTTTAGGAAGGAAGTCTTTTGTTTCGTTTTGGTTTTTTGGTACCAGGGATTGAACCCAGGGGCGCTCGACCATGGGCCACATCACCAGCCCTTTTTATTTTTCACTTTGAGACAGGGTCTTCCTAATTACTAAGTCACTTAGCTTAGAGCATTGCTAAGTTGCTGAGACTGGCCTTGAACTTGTGATCTTCCTAGCTAGCCCCCTGAGTTGCTGGGATCAGAGGCATGTGCCACCACACCCAGCCAGGAGTTTGTTTTGTGTTTGGGGGTTTTTCTTAGAGCCACAGTAAAACCATGGACAGGAAGGTGGTCGGAGGGGCCGCTCTTGTGGGTGCGCGGTGGAGAGGGAGGTGGACATGCTGAAGGACTGGATTTGGACAGGAAGGTGTGACGGAGGTGGTCGGAGGTGCCCCTGTGGCACGGTTAGGTGGGAGGGTGTGATGGAGCCTGTTGGCCCCCTGAGACTTCCACGAGGACACCTGGGCATGCCTGGGACTTGCTCTCTTGGGGACTTGCTCTCGGGACTCGCTCTCACTGGGGCGCTGGACACCCACTCAGAAGCCTTTGCCAGCTGAGGGATGTGTGCATACACCACAGGGGCTTTGGTCCCCCTCCTGGGGCCCACGCGGGCTTGGCACCCTGTAGGAGACGCTTGCTGAGTTTCCTAGAGGTCACCTTTCTGTCTGGATGTGCAGGATGCGTTCTGGAGATCAATCCTTTATCATGTAGAGAGACCCAGCCTGTGGCTGCAGTGCCTCCTGACGGAGGTCGCAGAGCCTGCTGGTCCACGCACATCGTGTCTTCTCTGTGGATCTGTTTTGTGTTTCAACAAATTCACTCTCCGCCGCGTTTCCTCCTAACAGACCGGACACTCTGCTCTTCAGTGCAGGTGTTCGATACATAACGTGTGGGGTGTAATCCAGGGCAGGACTCCAGTCTCACTCTTCTCCACACTCTCGTCGCCTCTCATTCACCCGCCTCCTCTTGCTTCTCAGCCGTCTGCTGTGCAGACGCTGGGACACGCTGCCGCCCGCGGACCCCTGCAGGTGCTCTTCACACAGGCTGATCTGGCCTTCTGCTCTTTGAATATGTGATGGGGTCAGTTCCATGAAAAACCCTGCGACTTGAACTGTGAGTTTGAGCACCGCCTTTGTGTGGTGAGCCTCTGCATCACAGGCGGGGCCTGGCCTGTTAAGCCTTCAACGACACTGTGGCTTTCCCGGGAAAGGTCACCCAGATCTCGAGAGATTTACTGTAGGTTTCTTGAGCTTTCTGCTGCTACTGTAAATCAAAGCTTCTTTCTTAAAACTACCTTTTCTAATAGCCCTGCAGGGGCACCTCCGAGCACCTCCGTCACACCTTCCTGTCCAAATCCAGTCCTTCAGCATGTCCACCTCCCTCTCCACCGCGCACCCACAAGAGCGGCCCCTCCGACCACCTTCCTGTCCATGGTTTTACTGTGGCTCTAAGAAAAACCCCCAAACACAAAACAAACTCCTGGCTGGGTGTGGAGAGCTGTTTTGGAACAGAAAATTTCTTTCCCAGGTACGTTTCCTGGGAGACTCTCATAGTGCACAGGGATGGCCAAGGAAGTGTCCTCTGTGGGAGCAAGAGAGTGAGAGTGGGCTGGGCACTGGGTGCTGCCCCAGGCAGTCCAGTGGCTTCCTGTCCTTGGAAGGTTGCAGAAGGGGTGAGGCCAGCAGGTGCGGGCGGAGCCCAGCCTTGGGCACTGGGCCCTTATGAAGCCTGGGCCATGTTCAGCACGCCCCGGAAGCCCGCGCAGGCGTCTGGGTGCAGTGGCTCTTAGGGAGGTGGCCTGTGGCCATGGCATTGCTGGTGCCCAGGAGTGGACAGTGCCTGCTACTCATCACGCAGTGCTAGGTGTCTCTTCCTGTCCAGTGTTTCACAGTGAAGGCACCCACTGCAGGTGGGCCACGAGCAGTGTGCAGTGGCCTCGTCACCTGTGTCAGGACCAGGGCAAGCCCACCTGTGGGCATCCTGCCAGGGGAGGGAGGCCTGGAGTTCATGTGGCAGGCTCCTGGCCAGACGGGGCCTGCGCAGCCCTCAGGCCGGGGGTGGGGTGCGTGGGTGTCCAGTGTGTCCAGGACACAGACACAGGGCTTCACGGCCCTCAGGCTGGGGAGGGCGCGGGCGTCCTGTATGTCCAGGATGCAGACACAGGTCTGCACGGCCCT